TGCGCAAAAAAAGGAGGAGGGCAGTTCTATATCTCCCGTTCTGCTGGTTCGATTGACGAAATTCAAACTGCGAGAGGTGAGAAACCTCTCGAAAGTGCGACTTAGCATATGTATTACATTTATATATAGCATTGTTCTAATATAGGAATTTTGATACAAAATCGGACTTTTTCTGAAATGACATACCAATTTTTTTCCCTATTTCGATTCTACCATTCAAATTGCGACAAACTACCAAGTTTTGTAAAAAACCGCCCGAGCAGTTTTTAAAAAATTAGCTCTCAAAATTTTAGATCGTCAATGCTATTTGAATTTGGTATATATTTGTTAATATCTTTTTTTTATTAAACTTATTTAATTCTTCCTTTCACATTTCGAAATTTAGGTTCGTTCCAGATGCAATATGCCCATTTTTTATGATTTATTTTTAAAATTTTTATTTTAAAATAAATTTTTACAAATTTTCGAAAAAAAAAATTTGAATTATAACACATAAAATTTTTAATTTCATCTAAAATTAGATGTATTTCTAGGCACACCTGCAAAAAATTGGAGTTTTTTATTTAAAATTTTCTAAGATATGCGCGAATTTACATATGTAGCGTTTTGAAATTTGGCATATTTGTTATAAACGATAATAATGCCAAATAGGGTTTACGCACTTTGTTAAAATGATTTCAAAGTATGAATTATGACATTTTTTCCGCTTGTCTGCAATGAAAAAAAAGAAAGGAAAATGGTTGCTATAAATTAAGAAGTTCGCCAAGTAAATTATTCTTGGTGCAAACTGGAAAAAATGCACCAAGTTAAATTTTTGAATTTCTCCGTAAATTTCATACCAAATTTTACAAAATTTAATATTTAAGCATAATTTTAGTCGTAGAATCGAATATGGAAAAACATTGGCATGTCATTTCAGAAAATGTCCCATTCTGTGTCAAAATACCTATATTAGAAAATGCTATATAAAATTCTAATATATATCCTAAGGCGCGTTTTCGAGACATGAAGAACGCAATTTGAATTTCGTCAATCGGCCCAGCAGAACGGGAGACACACAACTGCCCCCCCCCCCGCAGTATACGTCTTGATCATAATACAAAAAACCATATGATGTGGATTAATTTTAAAATAACGCAATTTATAGCGATTTACTATAAGCAGTTACTATATTTAGGACGGAAAGTTGAAATAAGCAAATTAAAATAGAGTGACAAGGAACTAGTGCAAATTAAAATTAGAATTTTGATTTGCATATTTTATATATAATGTGAATCCTTAGAATTAAGTTTGTAATTTCAAAATCTTTATTGCCTATTAGTAGAAGTTTTTGATTAATTTTAATTCGATTCTGTCTGAATTTAATTTTAAAGGAAACAGGTCCAAAAAGTGACGGCATTTTACACACCTGCTTATGTAGATTAATAAATATACATTGTTATTTTCTATATTATTGTGGCGTTTTTTTTTTTTTTTTTTTTTTTTTTTTTCAAAACCATCCAAGAATTTAAAACCAAAACACTATCAAGGAAATCTTCACGAGTATCAAAGAACTGGTGACTCTGTGTTATCGATTGATGCAAGATTAGATAAGATTTCAGTATGTGTTTTTCGAATTGAAGTAAAAAGAATATAGATTTAGGTATACATCTTTCGTTTACCGGTAAAGCAGGTATGACAGATAGTCAACATCTTTTTATACGTTTGAAAACTTATTGGAAGACTGGAATGAAATTCATAGTTCCAAAGTAGAAGTGTAAAATTTTTGGCAAAAATTCAAACTTAGTTTAGCAAAAACCAAACTTTATCCATATCGAGGGCGATCAGACACAGGTCTCTCTTCTTCAGGACCAAAGGATCTATCCACATGTGATCGTTCTCAAAATAGATGAAGTTTTATTCAAAATCTATACCTAATTAGCTTACCTAATTTTAAATTTTGCATAAATTCTCTTCCAATCAGACATTTCCTTTAAGTATTACGATTAAGGTACAGCAATGATCAAATAATTTAAAGAAAAGTTATCCACTGTTTATAAAGGATCTTTTGCTTTCAACACTTTATGATCATTTCATAACATTTTATATTTTCCTAACTAAAATTCTGTTGAAAGTACCTATTCATATACTTCTAGTTATATTTACAGTGGCTCATATTTATTTCCAAACACTTTGAAATTTATTTGCATAGATCTAGAGTAATAAATATTAAAGCATAGACTCCAAATTTTTTCTTATTATATTATTTTTCTCCTCTTTTAAGGCTCGATTATTATCATATAAATATTATTAAAATATTCTTTGCGATAAAATATTTTTTCCAAAAGAGTTAATTACAAACTCACATAATAATTCGAACATTCGAAAGTTTCGTCGAGATGTTTTGGAAGACGATGTGTCCAGTCATAATTTTTTGTTTTAAATAAAAATGTATCACTAGAGTTATCACCTGTATTTGGAAATTTTTACTTGCTTATCAAACTATATTAACAGTTTCGTAACTGAAGGAAACATGGCAAGACGCTACAACTTAACGACAAGCTCAGATCGAAATTTACCTATTCATCGTTTTAAAGATGATAAAAGTACTCAAAATATTAAAAAAATCCTTGATGGAAAGCGTTTAACTATCTTTGATGCATTAAAAAGATAGAAATTGTGCGGAATTGCTTAAAACGCACTGAATTCTGGATTTAATTCCGAACGAATACGGAGTTTTATACTATGAAAAATCAAACAAAACCCAAAAATGAGTGCTGTAAATCTTGTAGCCAATTTATAAGAGCGACTTGCAATAAAAGTTAACCCGGAAATTGTTTAAAGAATAACTGGAGCATATGGTACAATGGGCAATCAGCAATAAAAAAATTTTAAGTCAGCAAGAGAACAAAGCAAATACGCATGTCTTTCGCGAAATCTATGGTAAACAAAGTTTTATAATATTGAAAAAAAATGTTATATTTGCAAAAATTCAAAATTCAATATATTTGTGCTCAATGAACGAAATAATATATGGCAAAATTGGAAGAGTTGAATTAAAAAAACATACTAAGCATTTATTAGAAAACTTGGAAGGCAAAATACATCCTAGATAATAATCTTAAACATACAGCCCTAAATGTTAGCTGATGCTTATCTACAACTGTCCTAAATTTTTCAGAACTTTTCCATATTCTTCCGACTTCATTCTATCAGACATGTATGGAGTGAGTTGGAGAAAAGAATTGGAAAACTGATATTTTTTCGAAAGATCTAATACGAATGGAATAAAATCAAACATTTTTTAATTATTAATTAATTAAACCCATGCCTATGAACCTAAAATAAAGAATTTTAGCTGAAGGATACCCAAAGAAATATTGAATGGCCCAATATTTTGATGTGTTTATTAAATAAAAAGTATTTGTTCAAAGTGTCGTTTTCAATAAACTATTTTTCATACCAAAATCGTTTTAACTAACTTTTTTCGAAACAAGTAGGTTTTAAAACTCTAGTAACTGTAGCTAATCAATAATATATGTGAAAGAAAAATAAATAATTTTACTAATATCTAGTAACTGATATTTGCAAATAAAACTGAAAAATCCAAGTGCCCGAAAACAAATTTCAGTCATTTTTAATACAGATAATTAATTACACATAAATAACTTAAAAACAGCAATTAAGTTAAGTATATAAACAAAATAATTTACTATATTTATATGTTTGTAAGTTCATTAGGTTGTTTTGAAGCAGGAAGGCTTGAAAAAATGTGCAATGTTCTCGCCGGTACTCGAACTTGGACCTCTCGAATACGCGCCGAGTGTGCTACCGTTACACCACGAAGACACGCTGGAAAGAAGGAGAAAATACCTTATATTTTTAAGTATGTTTTATATTACTTTTTTTAATTTTGCGAATATAAACAGGTCTTCAGAAAAAAAATCCCAGATTCTAATGGAAGAAATGTTCGATATTAATGAATGTGATGGCTCCGCTCCATGTATTGATATAATTTCTTTAATACTTGGCATACAGATACATTCAATGCAAAATACGTTCAAGTTCTATCCGAACATACAACTCTAAATGTTCACTTGTAGTTACACAACTATCCTGAAATTATCACTCTCCATACTCTCCGGACTTAAATCCTATGGAACATGTATGCACTGAGTTGGAGAATCGTATAACGAATTCTTCGAAATCTCTATTAAAAACAATTGTTACGTAGAAATGAAACTTTCTATCAAGAAAATATTAGTTAAATCCATGTTAAAACGCGCGAAAATATCATTTTAGCTAAAAGATATCTAACCAAATATTGAATATTCAGTAATTTTCATGATTTTAATATATATAAACCGTTTATTCAGGAGTTCGAATAGTTATGTAGTTCATTTTCAGAAAATTTTGAATAAATTATTATTTTTTTTTTTTTTTTTTTTTTTTTACTGAAAAACCTTTTTATAAAACAAGCAAGTTTATAAAAAATTGCATCATAAGCTGAATGTGCCCACGCTACACACATTTTTCCCCCTCTCTTAGCCTTTTCTAATCTAAAATCTACATCTTAATTTTAAAAAATGTATACTTGTTCATGTAAATAAATGCACAAAGAGGACTTTCATTTGTTCAAATAATATGATTTATGAGCCTGAAAATAATGATAAAATCTTTTTTAATGTTTCTTAAACAAAATTATTGTTTACTTCTTGTCATTGCTTCTTGAATTTAAAAAATAGCTAGAGATATAATTAAAACTGCAAAATCCTGTGGTTAGTTTGGGTTGTATGAGCTGAAAAAACATTGTTTAAAACTATTATTTCTTTTAAAAAATTCTAAAGAGAAGAGAAGTTTGTCTCCGTTTTTAAAGCAAAGAAACCCCAGGCTTTCCGGTAGGCAAAGAATGTGTTAAGTGCGTTCGTTCAAGTCCCGAAAGGGGATATGAACTTTTATCACATAACTAAAAATAACACTTGCCTGGAACAACAAAGATACAGGATTACCAATAAACTTACCTTTCATACTTCGTGGTGGTGTGCAATGTTTAAGCTTTGCATGGCAGAAAAATTCAGGTTTATTCCGTCTCATGTTAATCCTTTAGTGATTCGTTGAATAAATCCTTCGATAAAGTTTCACTCCAAAAAAAAAAAAAAAAAAATCTCGTTCACAAGTAAATTATTCCAAGCACAGAACGCTGCATTTGACTTCAGAACTTTCTCATTATCAACACCACAAGATTATTGCAAAATGAATTTTATATATTTTCGTCATTCAAGTTATTATTAACAAAACATTATTCAAAACATATTTTTAATTTTCACATCGAAATGGCAACAAATGATGAACTTTCGTTTTCACAGCAAAATCATCTGAAGAATAATGGCACGAATTTTGTATTTTGTTAAACTCTTGAATGGTTACGTCAAGTTTGACTTCTTGTTAATTAATGTGAAGATGGTGCCTAGACGTTAACGTGAACAAATAAAGCGAGATTATCCTTATAGTACTAGTTGTCATTCATGAAATTTCTCAGAATTGTAAGGGATAGAGGGAAACTAAAAAATTATTTAACAAAAGGTAAAATCTAAGTGTGGGATTTTTCGCATCAAAAACCATCTCTATGCGTATTCTATGACGAAGACGGCTAAGCTCAAACACAGAAGTCCTTTGGGACGTTGCCATTGACACAGAAGAAAAACGTCCGCTACAGAACTGAAGGATTTAAATTTAAACCACAGTTGTACCAAGTAGATGTCGCTTTTTGTTTTCTTATTTTTTTTTCCGTCATCCTTTGGCAACGTTTTCGAATGGGGGTGTCAGGTAGTTTTTGCCGAGCCCCAACACGCGACGGTAAGGACTCAACGACGGAATGATAGCTTCTCTTGGGTACTGCGGCTGTTACGTGATTCGTAGAGAATTATTATCTCGTTGTCACACTTTTACTCGCTTGCTTTTTTGTTCGAATGTGAACTTTTCAGTGACTGCGGTCAAATGTTATCTCTTTGCAGTGTTTCAGACTCCGCGTACCTTACGGCTTCTGAAGAATTATCTCGAATTTTGCGACAGGAGTATGCAATCGAGAATACTTAGCATACACAGGTGTTTCGCGTTTTACATAATAGGCTTATGAGATTAGCTTGTAACTTTAAAAAAAAAAAATTAGCATGCCTTCGTTTTATCTATAATGACTGCACCGATTTTCAGTTATACGTCAAAGTGATAAATTAATAGAAATGTCAATAAATTACAAAGGCTCACATTTGTTTTCGGGCATTCGTATTTTTGAAATTTATTTCATACATCTTGTATTAAATACAGAAATATGGACTCCAAAAGTTTTTCTAATACACTATTTGCTCTCTTTCTATATCTATTTCTCTATCTTTTATTGCAAATTAAATGTCATTAAATATTCCTTATAATAAAATAATTTCTTCATAAAGTGTTAATCAAGTACTCACATAATAATTCCGACACCCGAAAATTTTGTTGAAATGTTTTGGTAAACGACTTTTCACATCGCAATTTTTTGTTTTAAAAGAAAATACATCACAAGCATTATCATCTGCATTCGGAAATTATTATCTGTTTCGCAAAATATATCAATCGTTCCATATTTGAAGTAGATATGGGTAGGCGCTATAAATTTAAAAATATTTCTGTCCGAAATTTAATTATTCACGATTTTAAAGGTGATAAAATATTCAAAAAAATCCTTCATGAAAATCCTTCAATTATCTTTGATGTACAAAATTGAAATTGAGTCGAACTGTTTAAACGGCACTTGATTTCGGACTAAATTCCAAGTTAATTCAAAGGCTTCAGTGACTTATCCTATGAAAAGTCAAACAAAACCCTAAAGTTAGTGCTGTAGAATTTGCAGCGAATATAGAAAAAAAGCTTGCAATAAAATTTAACCCTGAAATTATTAGAAAAATCATTAGGGCACTTGGATATGCTGGGCGATCAAAAAAAGAATGTTCTTCATGAACAAGAAAACAACTGGTGTTCAGAAACTTTGTGGTAATCAATGATTTATCATACTGAAAAAATGCTATATTTGAACTTTCTGGGGAAATCCAAGCAAAGAATTGAATCTGAAAAGCACAGAACGCTGCATTTGACTTCAGAACTTTCTCATTATCAACACCACAAGATTATTGCAAAATGAATTTTATATATTTTCGTCATTCAAGTTATTATTAACAAAACATTATTCAAAACATATTTTTAATTTTCACATCGAAATGGCAACAAATGATGAACTTTCGTTTTCACAGCAAAATCATCTGAAGAATAATGGCACGAATTTTGTATTTTGTTAAACTCTTGAATGGTTACGTCAAGTTTGACTTCTTGTTAATTAATGTGAAGATGGTGCCTAGACGTTAACGTGAACAAATAAAGCGAGATTATCCTTATAGTACTAGCTGTCATTCATGAAATTTCTCAGAATTGTCAGCCAATTGTCAGGTGTCAAGCAATAAGGTGGAAGCATAACGGTTTGGGTATGATAATACGATGCCTCGGAAATAGGAAACATACTTTTTGTAAAAAATAGTATGGGTCAGTATAAATATATAAATATTCTTAATAAAAAATCTGAAAGCATCTGCAAGGAAACGTAGAATACAAAACACATTCAAATTCAATCAGGACAACGATCCTAAACATACAGTCCTATGTTCGCTTGTGGTTATCACACTGGTGTGTGCGTACGGATTTGTAATATATTAAATGCTAATGCGCTTTCCGGTTTTATATAGTTTTTCCCAGGCCACCGAGAAATTTCTATTACCTTCGATTGCTAGAAATTGCTGGAAGGTATGCAGTTACATATAGGTCTGGATAAAGTTACAGTTACATACAGGAATCAGAAGAATAACAGTTATACAGGGATCGGACGAAAACGTCGTCAAATGGTCGCGAAGTTTGGCGACTTTCGGCGATTCCTCACCATCGCCAGCTTGGCATTATCTCGCCAGTTTAGCGAGATGGCTATTTATCTCAATGTTAAATGGACTTGCCCCGTAATATTATTTTACCGGCGGAGTTTCGCCTTCGAGGCATTATATGTTGCATTATACAAGTACGATTAACATATAGTGTCACTAGAATTAATTACATATGTACAAAATTCATAACATTGACCCTTTCCTATGGACTGCATTTTCCGGGGAGTACATAATCCCTGGACAGGAAGCCATACTTATAACTAAGGAAAATCAATGGAATACTAAAATAATTTCAATGTGAAAGTTATAAGGTATTTCTCCCGCTTTCCTAGCATGCCTTCGTGGTGTAGTGGTTCTGCACGCTGGGCCGGTGTTCCAGAGGTCCGCGGTTCGATTCTCGGCGAAGGCGGTTGCATATTTTTCATCTTTTCTGCTTCCAATTAAATTAATGACTCAACAAATGGCGCCCGAACTAAAAGGATTGTGGATGATGATTCTCCGCACCCAGGATTTGGCGATTGGGTTTCCTAAAAACCTTAGTCGCCCTTTAAAAAGGGGGAGTATATAAAGGTATTTCTCCCGCCTTTCCTATAGTCCGTGCCTTCGTGGTGCAGTGGTTCTGCACGCTGGGCGGTACTCCAGAGGTCCGTGGTTCGATTCCCGGCGAAGGCAATTGCTCATTTTTCATCTCTTCTGGCCTTCCAACATATACCTAATGTCTCTACAGTGGTCGCCTCGAACTAGAAAGAGTGAGTGGATGAGGACTTTCTACCACGCTCAGGAATTTAGGCGATAGGGTTCCCTAAAAACCCCAAGTCGCCCTTTAAAAAGGGGGGAGTATATAAGGAATTTCTCCTGCCTTCCGAGCATGCCTTCGTGGTGTAGTGGTTCTGCACGCTGGGCCGGTATTCCAGAGGTCCGTGGTTCAATTCCCGGCGAAGGCGATTGCTAATTTTTAATCTCTCCGACTTCCAAAAATCCTAATGTCTCTACAAAGTATTAAATTAGGACTTGTTAAAATTATGAAAAAGATTAGTGATTTTGAAAATGTAATTTTTTAATAGTCTCTGCTATTGTAAAGTAAAAAATGAAGTTGTATTTTATTTATTTAGTACAAATAATCCTATGACAAAAATGTTAAATTTGTTATAATATGTATTCGATTTGTATAAGTATTTAATTTGATAATTGTTTTAAATCTTTTGTATAACAAACTTATTTTTGGTTTATAAATTGTATTATGCTAAATACGAGTATTATTTCTATGTAAACCTAAATAAAGATTATATTCTTTAATTTAAATTGTATTTCTTAAGTTAAATATTTTTAAGAATTAATAAAGATACTTGTTGGTGGTCCCAATGGATCTTTCAGTCAATACGAAGAGTACCGTATGGTGTTTAACTCAAAATCACTAAAGTAGTTCCACTAAACCCTGCATTTACAGCATAGGTTACGCAGATGAGATGCCAGTCTTACCTGTTTATATCCACTCTTCAAAACAAGCATCTTAAACGACTTGCTTCCAGAAAGTGTCTAGAATGTCGTCAATTCTAGGGAAAAGTTATCTGCCATTCTTCCTGATGTCGTTCAACTGGCGATGGTCAACGCAAAATCTAGTTGAACCCTTTATCTCTCTGACCAGGACTATGGAAAAGCCCCAAAGACTCCCTGAAGTCTCTATAACGTCGCTATCTTGCATGTCATTTAAAGGAAGGAAGTTAAAATTCTCACCTGTGACAAAAGAGTGTAATTCATATTAATTCTTGTCCAAAATTACGAGATACTTCATTTTATAAAAAAATTGAAATTAAAACTGTATTTTAACAGAACTTAAACCATAGTAGAAAATGTTGTAAATATAATGAAAATTACTAAAAATTAAAATGTATATTTAAGCCATGCCAATAAACTTTATCCTAAATAATTATTTCATTTAAACGAATATATTTCACTTCTGCAAACAAGGTACTTTATTTTGTTATTAGAAATTTAAAAAATTGCATGTAACCTTCAATTATATCTAGTTTAATTATCTAACCTAATAACATTCAGATTGTTTTGATGTATCAGTTGCACAAAAGGCTAATGAAAAGACATTAATTTCTACAAACGCGTTTAAAATGCTTAGTAAAATCAAGAAAGAATCTTTGGCAAAGTAATTTTAAAATTTCACTATGATAACTTGGTTATTTGGATATTATAAAACATTGATTTTTAATCTCTTTGCCACCATTCAGCGGAAGAAAAACTGATTTTAAGGGAAAATATAACTTCATGGAATTCTTTTTATTGAGAATGAATTTATGTTCTTTACCGCATTCATATAAAAGAATAAATTTCTATCGGAACTTTGTTTATAGCAGAAAACCAATTCCTGGAGATTCAGTCGAAGTTTTGGAAAACTATGAATAATTGCACTGCCTTTTACAACAGGAGGGGGAAAATATTTCTTAACAAAAATTATAAATTTATGTAGTTGAAAAATTAAATAATTTTCCCCCGTTAAAGAGTACAAAACACGCCTTTTTTCCCCAAAAATTAAGTAGTGGAATTATTTTCACAAATACAGCCAATTTCCATTTGAACCAAAAAAAATTAAATTAAGTTTTAACTGCGTAAATTCTAAAAAGAAGGAGGTAAACGTGCTTTTATATTTATTACACTAAAAGTAAATAAAATAAACTATTTTTTATGTTTAAGAAATCCTATAACCTACCTCCAATTAAATTATACTAGGAAAATATTTCTTTAATTCCCTTCTGGTAATAAAATAATAAAATTGATACTAAAATATGTAGTAATGCCTTTTTGGCACTTTATGCCTTGAAACAGTTGGCCCACCAGCTGCCGAGCGGTAACGTCGCTGAACACTGGTAGCTCGGTCCGAGGTTCGAATCCCGCGAATGGGCTGGCTGCATGGGTGTTTTCGTGCTTTTCC